AAATACAAATGGATAACCATAACTTTCAGCTTTTTGACAATAATAGCCACTTTTTGAAAAATACACTAAAATAGCCAAATTTTTAAAACTTGTCTGACTAATTTAGTTATTTCGTCAAATACTTTAACACTGTTAACATCTCTGTCATTTAAGTAGATGTTAGGCTGATGTGGCTGCCACTTGGACAACACATCTTGGCCACATGGACTCGTCATGCCACGATAATTACCACATCATAATATTAAATAAAAAATATATAATTTATTTATCCTCTTACACCGAGCTCTCCCTCCTCCGCCCCAGCTCCACCACCTCGCGCCGATGCCAGGCGAAAAGTAATTTCCCTGCTCATGTTTGTCGTCCCAATCAAAATTTCCAAGTATCAACTCGGACAATTGCTTGGCACCAACAGTCGAGTGCCTGAGCTCCTTCCTCCTCAAGCGGCGAGACTGATCTTGTTTCCACCGTCGTCGATCACGCTGCCACAAAAGCCCTTCCATTTTCCATTTTTCTCGTCAATAAAATCCACCATTCTCCACGATGCCCAACCACCATTGTTGACGATAATGAACACATCCCAGCCTGCGAGAATCTCTGATTCCCAACCTTGACCCAACGATGAACAAAACCCAGAGGTGGTGATCGATGTTGCCGGTCAGATTTGCGATAATATCGTGACATCATTTCACAGCCGGCAAGAAGAAGAATGAGATGGTGCCAATCAACGGCTACGGGTGGCCATTTGAAAAGCCTTGCGGGTGGTGGATTTTGAAATTCCCAATCTATGAACCCTAATCGTTATGCCTAGAAATTCCTAATATGCCAATCGTAATCGCGTAATGTGATTTGAGTTTAGGTAATGGGAGCTGAAAAACCGCCTCGCCGCTTACTACCTCTGAACCCGCTAAAAGCTTTTCCTCTCCCTCCTCCCTGATGGTGGATCTCCCAAACTTGTCAATTCACCAACTTCTCCGACGTTCGCAAACAGTCGTGCATCGGCTAAGGGCTTTTTGGCTGGGACCTGTTCATATTGCATAGCAATATTGGAAATTAAGCATGGGTTAATACCTTGTTTTGACAAAAACTATGATCATATAATCAACTTTGGCTCGTGGTTTCAGAAATTAACATTCTGGCATCAACTATGCAACATATAGACTCAATTGGCCAGACGCACGGTTTGACCGTCAATTTGGATGGTCAACACGCCATGTCATTGCCTCGTCAGCCCAAAAATTATTTACAAATTCAAATTATTTTTTTAATTTCTATTATTTATCATTATCAAATTAACCAAAAAAATAAAAAAATAAAATTTTTTTTTAATTTTTTGAAAATGATAAAATTTTATAAATTAACCAAAAATTATCAAATTATTTTAAATTTTTTAAATTTTATTTTTTGTTTAATTTAAAAATGGTAAATAATAGAAATTAGAAAAATAATTTGAATTTGAATTTTTTTAATGATTTTTAGGGTAACGAGGCAATGATATGGTGTGTTGACTAACGGTCAACGATGTTGGATGTCCAAATTCACGGTCATACCACGTGTCAGACCAATTGACTCCATATGCTGCATAGTTGTGGCCAGGATGTTAATTTCTGTAACCACATGCCAAAATTAATTATATGATCATAGTTCGGGCCAAAATAAGGTATTAACCAATTAAATATCGCCGATCTGGAAGGGGTTTGGGGAGAGTTCACGATGGCAGGATGATGGAAGGGGTCTCAGCCACAAAGGAGAGTTGCAGGAAGATGGAAAAGGTGGGAGAGATTATTACTTTCCTTTCTTTTTACCCTTTTAATTTAATTAAAATACATGTAAGTTAATGGAAAATGCCACTTTAAACAAAAGCGTAAGTCTATTCAGAACTTACAATGTTGCCGTTATAGTTATTGACGAAATAGCCATTTTAGTGAATTTTACACAAAGTGGTTATTGTTGTCAAAAAGAGTATAGTTATGGCCATCTGAATGTATTTTGCCAAAATTCTTTGCCAAATATCTATATGGCGTTGAATGTTCGTTTCATTAATAATGAAACACGGTGTACAGAGTTAACAATATTGAAAGGAAGGACAAAAAAAACCAACAGAAATAGGGTTGAAACTAAAGTGGAACAACAAGGCCCCAGACCAGCAAAACCCAAAACTTCGGCCCAAGACACTTGGATAGGCCCAACCCTAGTAACCCTGCAACCGTTGGCCCGATCACTGAGGGAATGGCAGCCGAAAGCATCCCCACCACCGAGAACGCGCCGCCAACTTCCTTTCTGTCTTCACGCTGACAAACGACCGGGAATGCCAGAGGAAGGAGACCAAAACTCCAAACAACACCGACTCAACAAGACCGCCAACATGCTGACAAAAGGGAGAGCGAAACCTCGATGGAGAGAACCAATCCCAGAGAGAGCTTCGAGCTTCACCTGCACAAACAAGTAAAACGAAGAGCAAACCCAGACTTTGGACAGAGTAGAGGCGCCCAAATCATCGCCAATCTGAGCCCTCAACTGGATCCAATCTCAACAGAGTCGTCCCTGCTCACAAGCCCCCTAAATCTTCATTCAAGACAGCCAGGGTCCAAGCATCTCCGAATCATCCCCCATTTATGGATGAAACATGTAAAGGTAGATGGAGCATCAGAGTGGAGCAAACAAACCGAAGAACTCGGCTCCCTCAAACACCAGTGAAAATCATCCACACAGATCTGGGATCTGGTGGGGAGCAAAAGCATCTCCACGGGGGAGGTCAGAAGAACATCATCACAAAGATGGAGGAAGAGCCGAAAGGTCAAGACAAAAAACAGGGGAAGCAACACTAAAGGCGTGAGACTGAAAGGAAAAAGAAAGAGAAAAAAACAAAGAAACAAAGGATAGTAATGGAATGGAATGTAAAGGAAAGAACTGGAAAAGAAAAAAGGAACGTAAAAGAGAGGTTAAGAGCTATCGCCGGTCCCAAAGTGGAGGCCGACAGTAGCTCATCACAGATCTACTTTTGAAATCAAGTGAAAGAGGAGAGAATAGAAAAGGTAGAGAGAGAGAGAGAGAGGGACGAATTTTTTTTAGTAATAATATAAAATGATCATGTTGATGGAGGTTTTAGTGGCCACGTGGGTTCCTTGAAAACCCTTGGCAGCCAGTGGCGGACCCAGAAATTACATTAAATGTGTTCAACAATGAAACAAACTTAACAAGAATTATCAAATAGTATTGAATTCAAATACCACCATTAATAATCAAAATTTTACAAAGGAATTTTGTTCTAAAATTGAATCAAGGTTTGCCGGTTGACAAACCTACCACCAACCTGGGTCCGCCCCTATTGGCAGCTATTTTCTTTGCTTCGTTCTTTAATTCTTCGAGGTTGCTGACTGTCCCGAGCACGCCCACCAACATGATCGTATGTTAGGGCATGTTGAGCTCGTAAGTTTGACTCCAAATACATACAAAAAACTTCAAAATAACTTGAACTTAATTCTCAATTCCTAAGTGTATTTCATGTACAAATATCGTTGAATTCAACTCAAATGATCCGAAACACACTAAAACAATAAACCAAGTATAAAACTGGCAAATCCATAGAAATATAACTACATGACCTAGCAAAAGACATTAAAAAATATGAACATGTATAATTTATTTGTTAGCAATATGCTAAGATCATCTCTTCCAACATGTATAAAGGCAGTCATTAGACTAAAAACCTAATAAATCAGCGACCTTTTTACAAAAATCTAATAAGCTAGAATAATAACATAATGATAATAATTTTATTGTAATTTATAGGTTAGGGCACTAGCTGTACCAAATCTTATAATGTCCTATTTGCATGTTCGAGGCTCAACCCATCCTGCTCTGCTATGAGTCGGATTTTATTCATCATATCATACATACGGCAGATCGAATTGTAATTGTCTTCGCTATCCTTCTCTAATTAAAAGAGATGTAAATAGAGATACATAGACGGATTAAACACATACAGATTGCTCAAACACCAAGCTAAAGCCAAATAAAGGTCCTAATTGGCAAGGACAAGAAAGAAAATTTTGGATTTTAAAAAATGGAATAGTAATAGTATACACTTATGAAAAGCAGCCTAATTAATTATTTTTACAGGAAACCATCCTAAATTTAGGTGTCATGCATTCATGCAACATAGTTGTTCCCCGCCTTGTGATCATCCCATATCAAAATGGAGAATTGGTGCGTGATCATGAGCCCTAATTATTATTATAATCTTAACAATACTAAAAAAAAGGAGGTGGATTATTAAGAATAACAAAACGCGTAAAATATTATATAGATATGTATTATCAAGAAAGCAGAAAGCAAAAAACCAAAACAAGACTCATCAAAATTTCCATGCATAACGGGACCGAAAACAAAGCTCGCACCACTCCTTAATCTGTCTTCTTCTCTTTTTCAATTTTCATCGTCATCCGTCCTCCCCTAATCACCATTATCATCCCTTTAATTAGCTCACAAAACAAACAAAAAATCCCCAGTTTTCCCATTCTTCTCTTTCTGCCTTCCCTTCCAAAACCCATATTAATTAATTAATTCATAATAATTACTTCTCCCACTCTTGTCCCTTCCCTTCTCCAAATTCACCTCTCTATTAAGGGTTCCCCAAGAATCAAAACTTGAAAGAAAGAAAAAATATAGTCTTAAGGAAAACAAAAAAGAGAGTAAAAAAGAAATTTTTTTCTCTCTTTTTTTACCACCCATTCTCTCCTCTCTTTCAAACTTTTTTTTGTGTCACCCCACAATAATTACTCTTCGATTTGAGAGAGGAGAGAAGAACCCACAAAAGATCTTTTTTTGTTTTTGTTTTTGCAGCCGTTTTTTCCATAAAAAATTAAGAAAAGAAACAAGAATTTAAAGCTCTGCCCGTAATATATATAGTTACATTAATTTGGCGGGTGGTGGTCGTCGACGAGGAGAGGAAGAGAGGCTAGAGAGAAATCGGAGAGGAAACAACAACAACAAAAAAAAAAATGATGCGAAACGACATCGTCGACAGAGGGCTCGATCATCAAGGTGCGGGGGCGGGAATGGCGATGATGATGTCAGCCGGCGGCGGAGTGGGACAGAGGAAGGGCGGCAGCGTGGCGGTGCAGCAGGGGTTGAAGAAGGGGCCGTGGACGGCGGCGGAGGACGCGATTCTGATGGAGTACGTGAAGAAGCACGGGGAAGGGAACTGGAACTCGGTGCAGAAGAATTGTGGGCTGCTGCGGTGCGGGAAGAGCTGCCGGCTACGGTGGGCCAACCACCTGCGGCCCAATCTGAAGAAAGGAGCGTTCACGCCGGAGGAGGAGCGCGTCATCATCGAGCTGCATGCCAAGTACGGCAACAAATGGGCTCGCATGGCCACTCAGGCGAGTCTCTCTTCTATATCTATTATCAAACACATATTCATTTTTGGTGTTCTTCATTTCATCCATATCTATATATCATTCAATTAGGTTATGGCGAATTCTCAAATTTCATGGGGTAAAAAAGACTTGTAGTTTGATGGTACATCCACATTTTAGGAATATACTTTCAATTATGCTATTTTAAATATTTTAATGGTTTATTATTGCTAGCTCTCTCTATTTTATGTCGTCATAAACATTTTAATTTTGCGTTACCGACTACTGGAGAGACCAACAAATTGTATTTAAAGCTATTTAACTTTCATTCGCTCTTTCCGTGAATCATGAATCATTTGAGTTTTGGTCAGATACTTTATACTGCAGTGATATAAAAGTCATATCCGAGTAGATTGAAGTATCTTAACTATTTATTTATTGGTCTTCAACTTCTTACTGACATGTGTTATCTATATATATTATCGTCAAATTCAAGTCAATTTTGAATTGGGGTTTAATTTTTCTTATAATATATATAATTTTTAAAAGCATCACCTAAAATACTGAACAGCATTTTAAAGTCTCATAAACTCTCTATATTTGGTTATTACTTTGCAATAGCAGTTGCCCGGAAGAACGGACAACGAGATAAAGAACTACTGGAACACGAGAATGAAGAGAAGGCAACGAGCTGGGCTGCCGGTCTATCCTACAGAATTCCAAGACCAAGCGGCAGCGTTTCATCACATGCAACGCCATGAACAGAACAATCTAACCGACCACAACAACAACAACAAATCGTCGTCTCTCTTCTCCGTATTTCGCAAGGCACCAGTATACACCTCATCATGCTTCTCCTTCTCCGCCGACGGTTTCCCTGATTTCTCGCCGACGCCGGCCGCTGGTTGTTTCAAAGGTCACAGTAGTAATAACACCCACCTCCCTTCCTCCGCCTTCTATGGCAACAACACTACTCCTCATCACCACCAGTACCAATATCTCAACGCCCAAAACGGCGCCGTTTTCGCTCCTCTCTCACTCTCCCCTCTCGTTTCCACATTCGCCCCTCCGCCGGTCACCGGAGGAGGAGGAGGAGGAGGAGGAGAGAACATGCCGAGCAACTTTGTGAGTTTCACTTCCTTGATCATGGGGGACTACGACGCCGACCAGCAGCTGGAGTCCTTCAGCTTTGCGTCGGCTTCAGAGCTACCTTCACTCCAAACCCCGCCGCGCTCGGCGTCGTCGAACGCCACCGGAGGCGGCGGCGGAGGGGTTTGCGTGGTGGCTGAGGGATCTGACAATGGCAACAGCAATAGTGACAATAATACTGCCGCCGGGAGGACAAAAGGAAATGACCAAGATACCCTCACGGTGATGGAGAACAACAACAGCGGGCTGTTAGACGCGTTGCTGATGGAGAGCAAGGCTATATGTCGGAAGAGGAAGGCGGACGAGATGGAGATCGGTGCAATCAGCTCCACGGCGGCGGAGGAGGAGGAAGGGAACTTCGATGCCGCCACCGCTGTTGCTAAACGTAACTGTACAGCGGCGTCGTTTTGGGGAGCAAGCAATGGCGAGCAGCAGCCGTCATGTGAAGGCGGCGGGGATAATTTGGTCTTTGCGCACTCTTCAATCGGTAAGCAAACTAACACTTTATTTTATCTTGATGTTCGTGTTTTAGTTTTGGGCATTTTAAGTAGGAACTTTTTTTTACAAATCGCCACTTGAAATTGTATTTTTAATGTTATACTTATAATATAATTTTAGGTTGTACGTATACTATTTTACATATATTTTTAGTACAATCTGAATTCGTAAATTTTAATTATGTTACAAATTGAAATATAAAGGTATAAATTTGCTTATGGTATAACCTGAATTTAGTTTTTAAACTTATGGTTCTAATTTTAATTTTTACCTCCAAACACTAATAGCGGTAGGGGGACAATAGGCGCGGGTTGGGTGGGTTTTGTCATCAAATTGACCCACCCGCTTACTAGCGAGTTGGAATAATTGTGACCCTCAATCCATCCACATTCTTCTGTATGGGTCGGGTTGGGTGGGTGGCGGATGGGTGTGGTTGGGTCGTAGGTTAACATGCAAAAGCAATTTTTTAACTAGTCATTAAAAAATTTGACTAATATATATAATAAGTTCATAGCAAATTTGTAAGACTATCAATTTACACTTCTCACTTTGACTCAAGTGAATCCATGTAGTATTTGCATCAAGATTTTAGTACTCTATCAGCCAATTGTGTAGACTAAACCTACGTATTTTGTGATTTTGATACAATTAATAATTATGTGGGTCATTCGGGTGACCCACAATCCACCCACCACCCACCCACATAAATGCGTGTAGTAGATTTATCAATTCGCAATCCACCCACGTCAATCACCCACTACTTGCGGGTCGGGCTATTTGCGGGTGGATCAATATTAATATGTGGGTTAACCACCCACATGCCCCCACTAAATAGCGGTCAATATCTTAAAGCAGAGTAGAATTGCTCTTTGTTGAAATGTTTTACGTTAAAACTAACTATTTTGAGCAATTATTAAATCCGTTACAGTAATGGAGCCGGCGAAGGAGGAGACGGTGACGGCGACGACGGAGGAGATGAGTTCAATGGACGATGACTTGCTGAGCCTGCTCACCAACTTCCCGTCTTCCATCCCTCTGCCGGAATGGTATCGTGAACACAGTACCATACAAAATACAACCACCAACGTCAACATGAAGGAAAAAGCCACCGCAGTTGGCACGTGCGGCGGTGGATGTGAAGCCTCGCCTGCTCTTCAGGGGCCATGAAGAGAGAATACATGAGATGAAGCATGCATGGAGTTAACTGGGATGTGGTTGAGTGAAGTAATTAAGTTGTGATTATGTAGCTGCTGAATGAATGGAGTTTTAGGTTAAGTATAGGGTTTGTAAGTGTCGAATATGTACGTGGGTAATTTAGCAAATGACAATTGTGTGCTGTATTGTGTTACTGTATGTCAGTGTATAGAAAATTAGGGTTTCTTTCTTTGTGCTTTGTCCGGGAAGGGATTTGGTGGGGAAGGCAGAAATGTATAGCAGTAGATTTAAAGATTGCATTAATCAAGTGTGTTCAGAAGAACTAGATACTAGAATTTGTTTCAATTAATACGTATATGGGTGACAATTTGAATTCAAATTCATTAATCCATCTACTAAAATATAGATCGGACGACTCGTGTACGCATGTAATTATGGAAGTGACTGCGATTACTGATCATATTCAAGATTAAGCTCAATTGAGACTTCAGATGTTTTCTTCAAGCTAATCTCTCACTGCAACCCGGGTGGATGAATATCATGTGGGAAATAGATTAAGTGTGGTAAGTGTATAGTACAATATCCATCAATGTATATATGCATGTGTGCAGGATAGCCGCCACATGCTACTACTGCAATTCTTAGCTTCCTTCTGTATCAATTTTTTTTTTTTTTATGAATAGCTTAGCATAGCAGCTGGTAGTGCAATTCTTAAACCCAGCTCATTTCAAGCCACAGATTCCTCTCCTCGCCAAAATTGTGTGCCTTCTTTAATGGTCGTAATTTTTTTTACCCCTCTCTTATTCATAATCCTCAATCCTCAAATCCCCTTTAATTAAGTTGCTCCCTTTTGGCTCGTTCGCTGCATCGTTGTCTGCTGGATTTGAGTTGCCCCCGTAATCCTAATCCTAATCCTAATCCTTTCCATCATTACAAAATTTACTATTAGTTTTTTAGAGTTATAAATTGAATAATTTTAGCTACTTCTCTATATTAAGTTGCAACGTATGACCCGTAGTTATATGTAAAACTCCATCATCAAATCCTATCCATTGATTTTGGGAAGCGAAAATGGTTCATATTATAGAAGGGATGAGGGAAATTAGATATCTTAGGACTTTTTTGAGAGGCTACGAGTAAAAAGGTATAGATTCTCAGACGACATTAAGGAGAATTTTCAATGTCATACAAAATTTCAATCAATCATATATTGTTTATTTTAACCATAATTAAAAAATAAATTGCATAGAACAAATTCATATTTTTTCTGGTAATTATCGTTGTCTTTATTTATAGCACTAGTTGATTGAATACAATCTGCCCCACGCAAAAAACTCCATCTACAAAGATTAGATATGGGCCCGCCCGTTAATCGGATACATTTCGACAATAATACATAATAAATAATGTTTCAAATTTTGAATTGTACGAAGAAAATTCCATATATCACTTGGCTACGTGAATAAAAACTCAAATCTTTATTGTTTGCTATTTTTGAAAATGTGCAGGATGTTTTTAGTGGGTTGTATGTTGGTTGAATTACTTTTATTTTTGTGGAATTACTTTCTATTTGGATGTTCAAATCTAAAATGATGTATTAGTATATATAATAGGATAAGTAATCTCTTTTGATTTTACAGGTTTTCCATAAAAAAAAATCTCTATGCTTTTTACTATTATCCTTATACAAATTACAAAATAATAATTTCTATATACTGTGTTTAATTAGTTATAGTTTATTGCTTGGCCTGCCAAGCTAGATTTGAAATCCAAATTCATCTTCTTTTCCTTAAGATATAAAAATTATTATAGAAGTAATTAACTTATAAATAATATTGCAAACCCAAGATACTAACCCATTTTTCTAGAATTCCTATCATGGTTACACTTACGTTCTAAAGTTGATTAAATTCATATAAAATAATCATTAATAATTATCCCAAATTATATAATATATAATAAAAAAATGGATGAGGAAGCTTTTCTTCCGGAAATTTTCGGATGGATAGAAACGTAGGCAACTTGAGTTTTTTTAGATTCATGATAATTAGTTAATTACTAATAATTTGTTGACAAAAATATCCCTACTAAAATCACAGCTGGAAATTTTGGATGAAGCACGTTCTCATGCAGAACTTCTATAACTAAGTGGTAGGACTATGATGTACTATCTACACTTTTGTATCAGACACTTTGCAATTAAACTACTGCTAGAGGTGGCAAATGGATTGGATTGGTGGATTGGTAGATTGGATTGGTGGATTCATGGATTAAATGGATTGGATCTAATGGATTGGTGCAGCGGCGGATCCAGAACACAAAAGAGCACTGGGCCGCATTTCATTAAAAAATTAGAACCGTAAAAAAATATAATGATTATAGTTTTTTGCAATGTAAATTGTACACAACTGTATTTTAATTTAGGGAATGCATCAATAATGAAGTCTACATCCATACCAATAGTATACACTGTTTCAAATAAAATACTTGAGCAATAGGCGAGAAATTCATCGCTCATTGTGTTGAGCAAATCAGTTCTCACATGTTTCATTGTTAAAAAGGTTATCTTTGTAGTAGCTGTTGAAACTAGCAGCATCAACACTAGATAAATCAATCGACTAATCAATTTACATTGTTTGTCCATCCCTGCACACCAGCTGCTTTAGTAAATTTGTAAGGGAACAAACCTCATATTTCTTTTAGTCTTTTACGTTTTGAACTTTTTAGAATTTTAGGTTCATTGTTTTTTTAAGACGCGTAATCTTTGTGCTAAAATTCTAGGCTAAATTTAGAATAGTGATTTGAATATGTTCAACTTGATAATTTTTCTAGTTAAACCCAATCTTATTATAGAATAACACTGAATTGAATGTCTAAAATCAAAAATTTCATAAGGACTATAGTAACTACGGATCCAGAGGAGGGCTGGGCCGGGGCTTGGGGTGGCCACCCCCTGGATCCGCCAGTGGATTGGTGGATTCATGGATTGGATCAAGTGGATTGGTGGATTATCCATGAATCCAAATGACATCCTCAACCAAGGACCAATATGTAAAATGTAAGAAGTTTAGGTACTAAAATGTCATAATGAAAAATTTTAGGTACCAAAATGTAATTTTCCAATGATATTTTTCGTATAAAAAATTAAATTTTAGGTACCAAAATGTCAAAAATAAAAATTATAGGTACTAAACCGTAATTTGCCAATGATCCATGGATCCAATCCATGAATCCACCAATCCAATTGGATTTGGATAAAATGGATTGGATTTAAATGGATTGGATTAGGTGGATATTTTTAATGGATTGATGGATTGGATTAAAATTGCCACCTCTAACTACTGCTATCACAAACTACACAGCTAACCAGGAAGTTGCCTATAGCTTGCTGAGAGACTAGAGCTGTCTAACAGTAGACAAAACTCTGAGTCCCCTGCACTATATAACTGCACTTCTTCTACAATCATCCGCAATACTTCATCACTACTCTTACTTGAAGCTTGGAAAATTCTACGACAGCGTTCTCTCCAAAGCATCGACACGAACCAGCACCATAGTGTCCCAGCTATCCCTCCACAGAGGTCTTCTTCTCTACAATTTTGCAAATCAGATTCACCATATTGCTCCACTCCCTCGGCCAACACACATTTGGGAGCAGAAATGTCAATAGACTCCGAGAGTAGCACACCTACAAAACAAATGATCTTGCAGTTCATGTTCTGAAACCCAGAATAAACATAGGTCATCACGTACTAACCCCCACTCTTTCAGTTTATCCTTTGTAGCCAGTCGACCTAGAATCGCCAGCCAAGTTATCAACCTATAATTGGGTATAACAAACTTTCCCCGCAACATTTTTGCCCACTATATCCGATTAGCTTTAGGTCGAATACTTTGCCAGATAGTACTCATAGCAAATCATGTCATAGTTTATGCTCTACAATATGACATTTTGTTGACACCTAAAAATTTGGATTAAATTAAATGTCGCATTAATGAATTTTGACATTTAATTCTATGCCAAGTGATTAAAACAACGTTGTGGAGAGATAAGCAACGTCGAGAAGAAGTTAAACAGCACCGCGAGTAAGATCCAACAACGCCGTGGTACTTGAAACGACATTGTTTAGTAGAAAATAATGTCGTGAACTAAGGTTCGGCTTTGCAATATTGGTGTTGTGATTGGAAAAGGAGTGCTCTCTATTCCTTATCGAAGAAGGAGAGGATTCGGCCAAGATTACATGGATGCGTGACCAACACCGTTGTGGAATTAGAAACGGCGTTGTTTAGTAAAATAAAACAACGCTGAGAAGTCAAGCCTAAACAACATTGTGTAACACCCTAACCCGGCCGGGTACTACTTTTATCAAAATATCCTTTATAAACCATGAAACAAAATAAGAACTGCAAATACTTGGAAAAATAGCGGAAATTTTAAATAAATAACTTTAACAAATACAGAGAATAAACTGTAACTTCTTAAAACAAAGCCCTAACACTTGGGCGAACCTCAATCATAAAATCTTAATCTGAATCTCCAGTCTATACTCATAATCATAAAATGAAATAACTAAAAAGTCTCTAATGTTGTCGCTTATTGAAAACCTTGAGTAGGTATCCTCCGTGACGTGCGAATCGTCCTCCTATAGTTGGCTTGCCTCAAACCGTTCTCTCGATCTCGTTGCTTTCTAACTGCTTCTCTAACTAGTGGATATCGAGCGGGTTCTCGCTCATTCTTTTACTAAGGCCTGGTGAGTGAGATGGGGTCAGTCTACTCCTTTGCGTTTTAAAATTTCTAATACTTAGCACTTTACTTAAAACACTTACTTAAATTGGTGGAAATTGTTTGTACTTCCACTCTTAAAAACTCATAACACTTAAAACTGTAAGGGAGCTAAATCTACTCTCCCCTCTTAAAGCTCAAATCTCAACTTAAATCTTTTGACTGATATGGGGATCCCTCACTAGCTAGTTCGGTTGCCAAACTCATAAGTATGAGAAGCCATACAGGCTTTCCTTAAACTTAAACTTAGTTAGCGTAGTCGTAACGATTCACCCTTCTAACATCTTAAATTTATCGTGGTGGCTCTTCGTCAAGAGTATAACTGCTGCTATATCTCAAAATCTCAAATTGCAACGGACTGGCGCTAGTGACTAAAACCACTTAAAATTATTTCACCTTCTTGAAGATGAAGAACTTCTTAAAAGAAGACATGTTTCTTAAACTTCATCTTACTTATAAATAAAGCATGCAATATGATATGTATAACTGGACGAATAAAGCATCCGCAACCACATGCATCATATAAACACACAAAGGCAAGTATGGCACATAGCAATCAATCTCAAAAAATGAAGTATTGTAAGGCGTAGAATTTACCCCTTTACACTCACCTGATTAAATCAAGTCGATCCAACTTCAACTGACCCCATGAGAATGTCCACGCAGAACAAAGCTCCCATTAATATATGCGGTTTCATAGTGGTCAACGACCTCAACAACATCTCTGGAAGCAACTTCAATTGGAACGAAGATGACGCTGACCAGCAAGAAAGCGGAGATCGCCCATCCTGGTGTGAGAATCGGCTTGCAAGCAGGAAGTTCCTGTTGTGTAAACTTAGAATATTTAGGTCGCTAAGAATTGCGCCTGGGAGCAGCGGAATCGGCGGATCCATTGGCAGCAGCGGAATTGGAGGAAGGGGTGGCGTTGTCTTTGCTCATCAGACTGGGACGGCAGGGGAGCAGACCAAGTGTGGGGGGCCGCCGGCGGTCGAGATCACTAAGCGATTCTAACTTCCTACACATATTTTGGGGGTGGGGGTTTGGTTGGACCTTCGAATTCTGCTTTGGGTTTAGATTTAGGCTTCTCTTAGCCTAATTATATGGGAAGGGAAGTAACCGAAATCACAATAAAAGAGGCGGTTAAATTATAATTAATTTGTAACCTCTATCTATATTTAATTAAATTAATAAAAAGATAGTTATCAAAACCATTTGATGGCAATATCGGAATTGCATGGTAAATTTTGGGTATGGGTACGATAGGCTCGATCCGACTAACTCGTTTATTGTTTGTTGATACTAAACTCAAAAGTTGGGGTGTACTTTTCGTGCTCTGTGGAACCCTGCCTATTTGGGTTAAGATCTCGGGATTACCTTTGGAGTATCTGGGACAAGATGGTATTGAGTGGGTAGCTAGTACTATGGGAAGACCTCTTTGGACCGATCAGAAAACTAGGGTTGGAGACCAGTTGGGGGTTCTTGAAGGTTTGTATCGAGTTGGCATCTGATTTAGAATTTCCACGACGAATTAGGCTTTACCCGGATGATGACCCTTATTTTGAGATTGGGGTGGAGTACTTACAACTCCCGCGAGTTTGCTCGAAATGCTGCTTGTTTGGTCATAATTGTCCTCATGATCCTGCTAAAGAATGGAGAGAAAAGGAGAGGGTGGATCTAGAGATCTCGAAGGAAATACTGAATTCATCAGATATGGATACTGGGTTGGATGAGAAGAGTGACATTGCTTCTGAAAAGAGGAGGGCTGTTGAAATTGTTGAGGATGTTGGGCAAGAAGAAGAGCTGGTGGAAGAGTTGACTACTCAGGTGCTGTCTGATAAGGGATTGAGGGCGGATTCTACTGTGGCTTTGCACATTGAGGCTGCTAACACTCAAGCTCCTGCATCAATTGGGAGCCCTCTCCTGAGTTTTGCTCAGGTAGTCAGGGGATCATCTCCTTCAGGAGGGAGTCCTTCTACTACTGAGCATGGAACAGGAAACCGGATCGTACCAGCCTGTTCAACCGGTAAAACCGAAAACCGGACCAGAAACGAAACGATAGGTGTTCTGTGGCAGAGATATCGTATCGGCCGATTTTTTAGGTCGAACCGGTCTGCGCGAAATGCAGGCCGGTTTTGATCCAACCGGTCAATGAGTGTATTTTGTTTCTCATGCCTGTTCTTCGCCTCTAGTTTCTAGGTTTCTGGTCTTCGCCCAAGTATTCTCATTCTCCGACGCTAGCTTCTGGTTCTCGATATTGTCCTTAAGCTCTGGGTAGCCCAATCGCTTCTATGCTCTACTCTCCGGCTAGCCGGCTCCATCTATCGACTCTCTCGATCTCTCTTGGCTATCTGTCTCTATCTGCTGAGTTGGCCCCCGCAGGTTGTTCGTTGGTAAGAAAAGAGGAGGGATCAGGAGATCAGATATGGATGGTGAAGGGGATTAGTGGAATAACTTTTTTTTTATTCTGGTGAGAAATAGAAGACAAAGGAAAATAAACTGAGGGGAAGAGAGAGGGAGGCGTGAGGGATAGAATGAAAGGAAAGAACATAGGATTGGAGAGAGTGGGAGGCATGTGGGCGGGACAGATAGAAAGGGGGGGGGGATTAAAGGATGGATAAATTTAAATTAGTGATATGGTAAAAAAGAACAATTTTATAGTGGGTAAGCTTTCGGTAGAGCTGCACCAGTACGACAACGTTTGGCTTCTTCTCTGGTCAGTCCGATATTTCCGGTTTTATTCCGGTATTATTCCGGAATGATATCACATTTTGGGTGGTACGTTTTTTTGACAAAAAAAGTTTTTATTAAATGGTATTTACCGGTATGAATTGATTGAACCACGGTCATACCACAAAATACCCTACCAGAAAGGAATCCGGTATGATGTCCGGTACGGTTTCCTGAACCATGCTACTGAGCAGGCTGCTGAGGCTGATGAGTCGCCAGTTTTTGGGAACTTGCAGCTCCAGCAGACTCAGAGGGGAGTGTCGAAAGACAAAGAAAACATTAAGCCTCCAGATGGAGGAAAGAGGGTTTGGATTGATTCTCCGTTGATTCCCTATCAACCGAGGAAAGGAGGTAAGGGTGGTAGAGGTAGGTGAAGGAAATGAGAATTATCACCTGGAATATTAGGGGGCTTAAGGCAGATAGTAAATATATAGCTTTGCTTAAGAAAGTAAATAAATACAATACAGATATAATAGTTGTTCTTGAACCTAGAATAAGAGCCTCTGAGACAGATGAGTTGGTTAAGAAGCGGTTTCCAGACTAGGAGACTAAGATAAAGCATAATGACTCTGGATTGGGTAAAATTTGGTTGGCTTGGAGGAAAGATGTTTCACTTACAGTTTTGCATTCCTCTGATCAGTTTATTCCGTTTATGGTGGGAGGTGCCAAGCCTTTCTTTGGAATAGTAGTGTATGCAGCAAATGATGATACTCTTAGACAGGTTCTATATAATGATCTAAGAAGGATCAGAATCACTGCTGCTCCATGGATAGTGATGGGAGACTTTAATGATATTAGGAACCCTTCTAAAGCTTCAAATTTCCTTAGAGTTGATGCATCTATGACCTTCTTTGATCAATGGATTACTGACCTAGAGGAGCATCAGGCCACTGGTCCTTGGTTTACCTAGCTAAACAAACAGGGAGCAAATCCTATTGCAAAGCGTCTGGATAGAGTTTTGGTTAACTTCCTATGGTTGGACTCAATTAAGGACAATAAGGTTCACTTACAAGCTCCAGGAGTATCAGATCACTGTCCCATGTATGTTGACACTGAGGCTGAATTGAAGTCGATTCCAAAGCCAATTAAATTCTTTAAATTCTGGACTCAGCACCCAAAGTTTGACGAGTTACTGGAAGAGGCTTGGAGGAGCAATGTTACTCTACATCCATTGATTAGAGTGAGTCTGAAACTGAAGAATTTAAAGAATCTGTTAAGGAAGCTGAATATAGAAGAATTCTCGGATCTGTCTGAAAGAGTAAAGGAGAAGGAAAGAGAGGTTAATGATATTCAGCAGCAGGTTCTTAGTGCTCCAACCACAAATTTGTTTGAAGAAGAAAGAAAACTGGGATTGGAATTGAAGATATTGATGGATGTTGCGAAAACTTTTTACAAACAGAAGTCCCGTGAGAATTGGCTTAAAACAGGAGATATGAACTCAGCTTTTTTTCATCGTGCAGTGAGAGTGAAACAGAAGAGGAATTAGGGTTCTCAAAATGAAGCAGGGGAAAAAGTCACTGAGGTTGAAGAAATGGCTAAGATTGTAGTAAGGTTTTATGAGAAATTGTTAGGAGTTGAGGGTCCGGAGGTTGTGACTTATTCTGATGAGTACTATGAAGCATTGTTGCGAAGGAAACTTTCTGAGGAACAGACCGATGGACTATGTGACCCGTTCACAGATGAGCAGATAAAGGAAGTGATCTTTGCAATGGATGGTGATAAGAGTCCAGGTCTGGATGGTTTCTCAGCAGCTTTCTTCCAATATGCCTGGCCTCTGAGTGGTCCAGAGGTATGTTCAGCTATCAAATTCTGTTTTGAGCAGGATAGAGTTCCTAGGCCTATTAATTCAACTATCTTAGCTCTGATTCCTAAAGTTGCAAACCCATATGAGATGAAAAGCTTTAGGCCAATTTCATGTTGCAATATACTATATAAATGCATCTCCAAGCTTATTGCAAATAGGCTCAGTCCCCTTCTCCCTTCCTTGATTAGCAAAAACCAAACAACATTTGTCAAGGGAAGGCTAATTGGAGAGAATGTATTGTTAGCTCATGAGTTAGTTAGCAAGTACTCTCACCAGAACATATCTCCTAGATGTGCTATTAAGATAGATTTGATGAAGGCATTTGATTCGGTTGACTGGAGATTTATTTTTCAAGTTCTGAGGTGTATCAATGTCCCTGAGAGATTTGTGAATTCGATTCAGATGTGTGTGGGAATTCCTATGCTCAGTGTTTTTTTTTAATGGGGGCTTAGTGGGATATTTTCAATCTAAGAAAGGGTTCAGGCAGGGAGATCCATTATCTCCTTACCTCTTTTCCATAGCAATGGAGGTATTCTCATGCCTTATTGATAAGTCTGTTGTTGAGAGGATCTTTCCATATCATCCTATGTGTAAAGGGGTGGCCCTTACTCATCTCTGTTTTGCTGACGATTCGCTAGTCTTCTCGGATGCTTCTAACTCTGGTATTCAGACATTACAGAATGTGTTGTCCCGTTTTAAGCTAATTTATGGTCTTAAATCAAACCCAAGAAAATGTGAGATATATTTTGGGATGATTGATAGAGATGAAAGTAAGATCAGAGCTGATTGATTTGGGTATCAACTGGGAACTTTCCCTGTTCGTTATTTGGGGGCGCCCCTTATCTCAGGGAAGCTGAGTCCCTTATCTCAGGGAAGCTAAGTCTAGCAGCCTGTAAACCTTTGATTGATAAACTGGTGGCTAGAGTTAGAAGTTGGCAGGCTAAATCTCTTACTTATGCAGGGCGTATAGAACTGGTTGCCTCGGTCCTTTATAGCTTGACACAATTTTGGATGTCTGTCTTTCTCATCCCAAAAGCTGTTATCAACGAGGTAGAAAATTCTGCAGTAATTTTGTCTGGGGGGTTGAAACAGTAATTTTGTCTGGCCTGGAAATACCTCACTTTCCGCAAAAAGGAAGGAGGTTTGGGTTTCAGAGACCTAACTAGCAGGAATCAGGCATGCATGACGAGGCATATATGGTTGATATTGCTGAAGGAGGATTCAATTTGGGTAGATTGGATTAACATATACAAACTTAAGGGAAGGAGTTTCTGGACATACACTTGTTCCTCTGGTTCATGGAACTGGAAAAAGCTGCTAAAGTTTAGATATAAAATTGGCTCTTTCATTTCCTTCCGAGAGGATGAAATCCTAATGGACAACTCTCCTATGCCTCAATTTTCTATTAAGCGAGTGTGGAATTTGTTAAGGCCTACCGGAAGTGTTGTTAGTTGGTGGACGCTGATTTGGAAAGGTAAGGGTATTCCCAGGAATAGTATTCTTACCTGGCTGGTTATGAGAAACAGTATCACCACAAAGGTGAAAATGCAGAACTGGGGGCATGTAGGAGATTTGCAGTGTTGTTTATGTAATTCAGGGACTGAGGATAGAGATCATATTTTTGTTCATTGTCTGATCTCCAGGCAGCTCCATGTTTCTCTCTTTGGCAGGGTGCTTCATATTCCAAATGTGCAGAGCTGGGATGATGAAGTTAGCTGGGGAGCATCGAGGTTTAAGGCTCAAACTGACATGGCTGAAGTGGGAAGAATCATTTGGCAAAGCTGGGTTAGTAATATCTGGAGAGAAAGATGTCGTCGTTTGTATGCTGGCAAGGCACTCTCCACTGCTGCGCTGCTGAAACTGATCAAGAATGAAGTGGAAACTTTTCTGGGAAGTAGTAGAGTTAGACAATTTTGGGGTTGACTATTGGTGATCTGTCTTAGAGGCTCTTGATGTTTTGTTTTTGTTGTCTGTTTTGGTTAATATTACCTAGCTAACAGGATGTTGTTAGCACCTGCTTTTTTGATGAAATGGAACCCACCGATTCATAAAAATAAAATAAAAAGTCGGAGTGTAACACCGTTGTACTTTGAACTCAGCTTTTTACAAACAGAAGTCCCGTGAGAATTGGCTTAAAACAGGAGATATGAACTCAGCTTTTTTTCATCGTGCAGTGAGAGTGAAACAGAAGAGGAGTTAGGGTTCTCAAAATGAAGCAGGGGAAAAAGTCACTGAGGTTGAAGAAATGGCTAAGATTGCAGTAAGGTTTTATGAGAAATTGTTAGGAAATGAGGGTCCGGAGGTTGTGACTTATTCTGATGAGTACTATGAAGCATTGTTGCGAAGGAAACTTTCTGAGGAACAGACCGATGGACTATGTGACCCGTTCACAGATGAGCAGATAAAGGAAGTGATCTTTGCAATGGATGGTGATAAGAGTCCAGGTCTGGATGGTTTCTCAGCAGCTTTCTTCCAATATGCCTGGCCTCTGAGTGGTCCAGAGGTATGTTCAGCTATCAAATTCTGTTTTGAGCAGGATAGAGTTCCTAGGCCTATTAATTCAACTATCTTAGCTCTGATTCCTAAAGTTGCAAACCCATATGAGATGAAAAGCTTTAGGCCAATTTCATGTTGCAATATACTATATAAATGCATCTCCAAGCTTATTGCAAATAGGCTCAGTCCCCTTCTCCCTTCCTTGATTAGCAAAAACCAAACAACATTTGTCAAGGGAAGGCTAATTGGAGAGAATGTACTGTTAGCTCATGAGTTAGTTAGCAAGTACTCTCACCAGAACATATCTCCTAGATGCGCTATTAAGATAGATTTGATGAAGGCATTTGATTCGGTTGACTGGAGATTTATTTTTCAAGTTCTGAGGTGTATGAATGTCCCTGAGAGGTTTGTGAATTGGATTCAGATGTGTGTGGGAATTCCTATGCTCAGTGTTTTTTTTTTAGTGGGGGCTTAGTGGGATATTTTCAATCTTAGAAAGGGTTCAGGCAGGGAGATCCATTCTCTCCTTACCTCTTTTCCATAGCAATGGAGGTATTCTCATGCCTTATTGATAAGTCTGTTGTTGAGAGGATCTTTCCATATCATCCTATGTGTAAAGGGGTGGCCCTTACTCATCTCTGTTTTGCTGACGATTTGCTAGTCTTCTCGGATGCTTCTAACTCTGGTATTCAGACATTACAGAATGTGTTGTCCCGTTTTAAGCTAATTTCTGGTCTTAAATCAAACCCAAGAAAATGTGAGATATATTTTGGGATGATTGATAGAGATGAAAGTAAGATCAGAGCTGATTGATTTGGGTATCAACTGGGGACTTTCCCTGTTCGTTATTTGGGGGTGCCCCTTATATCAGGGAAGCTGAGTCCCTTATCTCAGGGAAGCTGAGTCTAGCAGCCTGTAAACCTTTGATTGATAAACTGGTGGCTAGAGTTAGAAGTTGGCAGGCTAAATCTCTTACTTATGCAGGGCGTATAGAACTGGTTGGCTCGGTCCTTTATAGCTTGACACAATTTTGGATGTCTGTCTTTCTCATCCCAAAAGTTGTTATCAACGAGGTAGAAAATTCTGCAGTAATTTTGTCTGGGGGGTTGAAACAGGGGTAAAACTCCGAGCAAATGTGGCCTGGAAATACCTCACTTTCCCCAAAAAGGAAGGAGGTTTGGGTTTCAGAGACCTAACTAGCAGGAATCAGGCATGCATGACGAGGCATATATGGTTGATATTGCTGAAGGAGGATTCAATTTGGGTAGCTTGGATTAACATATACAAACTTAAGGGAAGGAGTTTCTGGACATACACTTGTTCCTCTGGTTCATGGAACTGGAAAAAGCTGTTAAAGTTTAGATATAAAATTGGCTCTTTCATTTCCTTCCGAGAGGATGAAATCCTAATGGACAACTCTCCTATGCCTCAATTTTCTATTAAGCGAGTGTGGAATTTGTTAAGGCCTACCGGAAGTGTTGTTAGTTGGTGGACGCTGATTTGGAAAGGTAAGGGTATTCCCAGGAATAGTATTCTTACCTGGCTGGTTATGAGAAACAGTATCATCACAAAGGTGAAAATGCAGAACTGGGGGTATGCAGGAGATTTGCAGTGTTGTTTATGTAATTCAGGGACTGAGGATAGAGATCATATTTTTGTTCATTGTCCGATCTCCAGGCAGCTCCATGTTTCTCTCTTTGGCAGGGTGCTTCATATTCCAAATGTGCAGAGCTGGGATGATGAAGTTAGCTGGGGAGCATCGAGGTTTAAGGCTCAAACTGACATGGCTGAAGTGGGAAGAATCATTTGGCAAAGCTGGGTTAGTAATATCTGGAGAGAAAGATGTCGTCGTTTGTATGCTGGCAAGGCACTCTCCACTGCTGCGCTGCTGAAACTGATCAAGAATGAAGTGGAAACTTTTCTTGGAAGTAATAGAGTTAGACAATTTTGGGGTTGACTATTGGTGATCTGTCTTAGAGGCTCTTGATGTTTTGTTTTTGTTGTCTGTTTTGGTTAATATTACCTAGCTAACAGGATGTTGTTAGCGCCTGCTTTTTTGATGAAAATGGAACCCACCGATTCATAAAAATAAAATAAAAAGTCGGAGTGTAACACCGTTGTACTATGAATTCAGCTTTTTACAAACAGAAGTCCCGTGAGAATTGGCTTAAAACAGGAGATATGAACTCAGCTTTTTTTCATCGTGCAGTGAGAGTGAAACAGAAGAGGAGTTAGGGTTCTCAAAATGAAGCAGGGGAAAAAGTCACTGAGGTTGAAGAAATGGCTAAGATTGCAGTAAGGTTTTATGAGAAATTGTTAGGAGTTGAGGGTCCGGAGGTTGTGACTTATTCTGATGAGTACTATGAAGCATTGTTGCGAAGGAAACTTTCTGAGGAACAGACCGATGGACTATGTGACCCGTTCACAGATGAGCAGATAAAGGAAGTGATCTTTGCAATGGATGGTGATAAGAGTCCAGGTCTGGATGGTTTCTCAGCAGCTTTCTTCCAATATGCCTGGCCTCTGAGTGGTCCAGAGGTATGTTCAGCTATCAAATTCTGTTTTGAGCAGGATAGAGTTCCTAGGCCTATTAATTCAACTATCTTAGCTCTGATTCCTAAAGTTGCAAACCCATATGAGATGAAAAGCTTTAGGCCAATTTCATGTTGCAATATACTATATAAATGCATCTCCAAGCTTATTGCAAATAGGCTCAGTCCCCTTCTCCCTTCCTTGATTAGCAAAAACCAAACAACATTTGTCAAGGGAAGGCTAATTGGAGAGAATGTACTGTTAGCTCATGAATTAGTTAGCAAGTACTCTCACCTGAACACATCTCCTAGATGCGCTATTAAGATAGATTTGATGAAGGCATTTGATTCGGTTGACTGGAGATTTATTTTTCAAGTTCTGAGGTGTATGAATGTCCCTGAGAGGTTTGTGAATTGGATTCAGATGTGTGTGGGAATTCCTATGCTCAGTGTTTTTTTTTTAGTGGGGGCTTAGTGGGATATTTTCAATCTAAGAAAGGGTTCAGGTAGGGAGATCCATTATCTCCTTACCTCTTTTCCATAGCAATGGAGGTATTCTCATGCCTTATTGATAAGTCTGTTGTTGAGAGGATCTTTCCATATCATCCTATGTGTAAAGGGGTGGCCCTTACTCATCTCTGTTTTGCTGACGATGTAAAGATGAGGGTCGGTGTTCTGGTTTGCAGTAGAAGCTTTTAGAAGTCACAGAGACTCCATATCTCCGATGGGCATTTTTCGGTGATAAAGAGAAGGGTTAGGGTGCAGAAAAGATAAGGGATGGGTGGTGGATATGCTGTTAACGGAAAAAGGGGAAAAGTTAATACTTTATTTTGTTTTTGTTTTTGTTTTTTATAAGTTTTTTTTTGTGACTTAAACTAATGACTACTTTTTTCTTATTTTAAATATTATATGGTGTCACGATTACTTGGAGTTACTTTTTTTTTAACTAAGATTATTTGGAGTTTCAAGTTGATATGCAAAATCCTAATTGAACAAGGAGAAGTACATAATAAACTAATTCGACCCATCTATTTCGACCTCTTTACACGAATGGTCGACTGTTTTTGCTAAAGGAGAAACCGACATGACTGAATCCTTATTCGACATTGTTTAGGAGCTAAGTAAAGGTATCATAGATCGACCGTAAGCATATGAGGTCGACCTCTTTGATTCCGTGGTCGACCTCTTTTAGTAGACGATTCAAATCGTAAATTCCTTGAAATCCATCATTGTATAACAAATCAAATAAACGAAAAACATTCAATATCCAAAAGGAAACAACCTCGCAAATATAAATTTAATGTATTGTCTAAATAATGCAACATTGTAACTTAATGACTTCATTTCTTTGCTTTTTTTTGTTTGAAGTTTTTCTCTCTTTGCCTCATTCCATGCATTCATCTACTACATGCTTGAAATCCATCATTGTATAACAAATCAAATAAACGAAAAAAGCTCGATATCCAAAAGGAAACAACCTCACAAATATAAATTTAACGTATTGTCTAAATAATGCAACATTGTAACTTAATGACTTCATTTTTTTGCTTTTTTGTTTGAACTCTTTCTCTCTTTGCCTCATTCTCGTGCACGGTTTCCAAAATCTGTAGCCAGATACCATAGAATCTCCTTTTCGAGCCGGTAATTTGTGTTCTTCTCCTATATGCATAATGGCATATAAGACTTCGTCAGAACCAAAAAAAATTAAAATTAAAATTAAACAAGTTTTTTGGTTGACGATATACTAACCACTCTATCCAGATCCGTGGATCCATAGCGCATCCACTGCATGACGTGCACACCACACTCGGTACTATTCTTTTGCCCTTGAACGTGTAGCTCTTCGAAATTGAAATCTCCAAAATTTGGTACTACTACATTGCTCATGCGCTCCAGTTTGAAAATATCATGCAATTTGCAGAGGTTTGACTTACGCTAACGATTCGCCGCACTAGTTTAAGGTAGACTGTCAAGCAAAAATGTGATTTTTGCTGGACATTGACGAGATACAAAAATCAATGATGTGCTTCATCCTCCAGAACTGGCATAAATATCTAGCAACGAAAAACTCACTATATATGTTGTTAAAAGCGAATACAAACAAATGCACTTGGAAGCTTAATCAGATAGAGACATTGACTAACCTTCTGGCATGCACTAACATTCGGCATAAACACCACGCCATCATCCATCAACTTTTTACGAATTTGTCCGGTCTTCATGTTAGGAAAAAAGCATGGTAAAGGAAACCGTACCGGAAGTCGTACCGGATCCGTCAGTGGTAGAGTATTTTCTGGTACGACCGTGGTTCAATCGTTGTGTACCGGTAAAATATCGGTTTCGTAATTAAAAAATATTTTTTTGTTAAAAAACCGTACCGGCAGATTCAGCATACCATTTCGAAGTAATACCGGAATGAAACCGGAATATACCGAATAACAAACCCGAATAAACTGGGTAATTAGCATAAATGATCACAAACCTTTGCACTTAGTACAAAACAGTCACAAACCTTTAATTTGTAACCATTTGATAACAAAACTTTTTAATTATAACAAAACGGTCACAAATTAAACAGTATGACCATTTCATACCAGTTCAAACTTTTGTTACCATGTCGTTGCAAATTAGACTTTTGGTGACCGTTTTGTACAAATTAAGTTCAAAAGTTTGAACGATCAATCACCGTTTCAATTCGCTCTAGTTGTATGGTGGTTTTGTTAATGTATGTGAATGATATGATCGTCATAAAGGATGACAATGAAAGAATTCAATGGCTCACAAACGGGTTCCATACTGCTTTTTAGTTGAAAAAACTCTGTCTACTTTCTTACTTTCTTGGTATCGAAATTCAAAGGTCAACTGAGGGCATTCATATTCGGCAAAGCAAATATGTCGATGAACACATGACCTGACATCTTATATGTCGTTCAAGTGGTTAGTGTCATATACTTTAACGAACAAACTACCCGACCTCAAAACATGACAAACATTTAATTTTTGTAACGATTCAGTAACAAACCTTTGCACTTAAAACAAAACGGTCACAAATTAAATAGCGGTGACCATTTTATACAATTTCAAAGTTTTGTTACCGTATTGTTACAAATTAAAGGTTTGTGACTGTTTTGTACTAAGTACAAAGGTTTGTTACCATTTATGCTAATTACCCGAATAAACTAAATAGGCATAGGTAATATAACAATCAACAACTGCAACATTATTGAATTAACTACATAATCGTTTAGATGCATGTTTAGAATCGAGTACAAAACAACCTCTAAATTCTCTAATATTTTCAAACAAAATGAAAACCAATCATCAAAACCAATGGAGGAAAAACTACTCCTTAATCAATGGATAACAAGGACGACAACAAGAAGTGAGCTTACCCACGGCAACAGGATAGTCAAAGTTCTATGCAGCAGGATCTAGGTTCACTATATGAATGGACTGCCCAACTATTTCACAATATTGGTGCAAGATAGAACAATAAGTCGACTGAAGAAGAAGCAAACAGAAAAAAATGCAAACATCAACATGATTCTCTATCTCCATAACCCAGTTCTTAAAAGAAAGCTGCTTTCTTTCGGGCGCATAAAACCGCAGGGCCAATAACAAGCTGTGCAAAACTCATGATTTTTTATTGCTCGTTTCAAAATCGCTAGTGATTACGGAATTCCCATAGGAGGCAAAGATTACTGAAGACGCGGAAATGAGAAGAGCAGCGACAAGATACGCCAGTGGTGTTCCCGTCTTCTCGCCACTCATCAGAGGCAGGCAGGGCTGGAGAAGGTTCGATCGGCGACGTCATTCTCTTCTTCTCGAGCAGGCAGAGCATGAAAGCAGGCGACGTTCTGAGAAAGGAGGAGCGCCACGTGAAGTGAAACGATAGCCTACCGTCGGTCTGATTTAAATCGGACGGTATATCGGATTGTGCCGGTTACGCCGTAAAAACCGGCCTGCGCGGTAAAATAGCAGCTGGATGGGTGCCGTTTCGCCACTGGCTCAGTTCCCGATTTTACCGGTTGAACCGGCCGGTACGATCCGGTTTCCTGTTCCATGGAAAAAAGTGAACCACAAAAAACTGTTTACCAGCACACACTACACATCAAAGCTAACCATAGCAAAGAAGGTCGGCCACTAAGTTATAAGGTCACCCGGAGTAAGAACAAACCGCCACCAGCACACGATTATAATAAAAGCGATGAGATTACAACGTCACTCCAACAAATTGCATATATCAAAGTATGAATAAAATCTTTGGACTTCCATCTATTCATAGTTGTAGACGAATTCCTTATCCTTACTAGTATCGTGAACACTTAACCCAATTAGTCAAGGATACATAAAATCCTAATTCGACAAGGACAAGTACGCAAAATCCTTTTTCCTAACTAGGTCGACCACCTCAACCCTTCGGTCGACCGCAACTGTGTAATTTTGTGATAAGGTCGACCATACAATTGATCCAGGTTGACCTGACGAGACCTAATTTTGATTTTATTTAACATACAATTCGTATTCCGATCATTGCAGGATGGATAATAGAGATGATAGAGATGTTGAAGAGATTAACGTCGATGAGGAAACTGAGGATGAATAATACTGCACCTGCAAACCCTCCAAGCCTACAAATTTGGTCATTTTTGCCCTAAGTGTCCGAAAAAAAGCCCAAAAAACATAAATTTCTAGTATTGTTTTTTAGAAGTTTACTTTTTGTAACTATGATTGCAGTGTTTTATTTTCACATTTATCTATTTTCAAATTATGTTCATAATATAAGCATGTGTTATTTGGTTCTTGAAATAACATGAAACATAGTAAAAGGTGGATCTGATGGAGAAATAGGTCGAACACGGATCTATAGGTCGACTGTTTTGTATGCGTGGTCGACTGAGATACTGTTCGGCTGACCAAACCGAGCTGGTCCGGTCTAACCCTATCTACCACGCTCCTTTTACTTTCCTGCAGCAGTCCCCCTCCACTTATTTTCTATCATCATCTCTTCTTCACTTTCTTCTTTTCTCTCCTATCCCTTCTTCTTCCAACACCAAAAACCCTTAAAAGGAGCACAAACACCTACAATCCTTCCTTCTCCAGTTGTTCATAAGAAGAATAAGGTATGTTTTTCATCTGTTCTTGTCATTTGGGTTAGTTTTTATTCGTTCTTATTAGAATAGATCTATTAACCAATCCCCCAAATCTGTAAAAATTCGATTTTATAATGTTGTTCGAAAGAATCGGTCGGCCGCATGATTTTCTGGTCGACCAATGCCTCTGTGATTCGAATTTTGATTCCTTGCGATTTGTGATTTGAAACACCCAAAACATGTTGGTTTTCTCGTCATATAGGTTTCACAATTCTTGCCTCATTGGTTAAACAAAAACGATATAAGCCAAATAAAAAGTAAGAAAAATAAAAAGTATTTTAATTTAAACACATTTAAATTCAATGGACCAATCTGAGTATGTATTAATGCAATGCACCTAACCTGGACCTCTTAACTTCACATGGAAAAAAAAGTTGTTTTCGCGAAAAAAGGGAAAGCCTGTAAATGATGGGAAGCGGGAGTAAATATCCTTCCATATCTAGCAAAGCGTAACAAATCCGCCCTTTTTCCTTTCGAGTATAAAACGTAATGACGGTAAAGAAAATTAAAACCCCAAACGCACATTGCGAAATCGAAGAAACCAGTAAAGAAGAAGAAGTAGACGGAGAAGAAAGCAAAGAGAAAGCAAAAGCCCGGAAGAAAGAATATTCTCATTAGTCGATTCGCAATCGGGGAACAGTGCTCCTGAAAGGTAAATACTCAATCCCCTTTGCTCTTTGCTTCTTAATTTCAGTTCTTTATTGGGAATAATCATCATCGGGTAACCTCAATCGTATGCGCCCTGTCATAGCAAAACCTCATTCCTTGATCATATGAGCACACGAGATTGGGTATTGTTCATCTTCTGTTTGCCCTCGCTCAATCTTTAGGAATTGACAGTTGAGTGAGGGCGACGTTTCACCAAAACTGAAAAGCCACTTTAGCTGTTGTATGCACGCATTTGGATTTTACTGCAATTAGCCTACTCTTTCTCCCCGATTCGAAATCTGGGTTTGGTAGAGATTCATGTGAATTGAAAAGGGTAGAGTTCTAATTTGTCTGCTAACTTCAGCATTTGCTTCCACAACTTCTTCACGCCAAGTTTCATTCATGCTAATCGAATCTGAGTATCACAGTTCACCGAAATCTATTATAATGCCTTACAGAGAAAGGGGCAGGCAGGGGAATCGAATAGACGAGAAGCGCCATGGGAAGCAAACAAGCACCGAACTGGGCGGATCAATGGGGGAGCTATGACATGGAAGATAGACATGAAGAAGGGCTATCGTCGAGCAAGAAAGGAAATGGCAATGGGAAGATGGCAGATGTCAAAGCAGCAGCAGCAGCTGGACTGGACAAGGCTAAGTCAGCAGCTTCTGTTGGGGCTTCTAAAATGAAGAGTGGGACTTCGGTAGGGATCAAATGGGTCAAGAAACAGTACAGCAAGAAGTTCTCTTCCTCTTAGAAGAAGAAATCATAACTCATGAAGGAAATGTGCCTTGTAATGATGTTACAAGATAGAGTTTCAGAATGTAAAACCTCTTGTTTATGATTATTGCTCCCTTGCTGGAATAAAAATATAAACAATGTTGCTGTATTTGCTATTTTAAAAGCACTATTTGTGAAACCATACAGCAATGCAGCAGTGAACTCTTGCCATATTGGTTGGGTATATCTTTTGAACTACTGTTAGTAGACAAAATCTGTGTTGGCCGCAGAACTTGGCAGAAAATGACCGAATCAAATTATATATTCAATACAGTCAGATTCAATCGATTTGACGGTCCAATATAACCCAGTTTGGACCAAATAGTTGCCCCTAACTAAAAGGATGTAAATTCTTTGACAGAATCTGAGTGAACAATTAGAGTAGAACAACTAAAGTGGCAGAATCGACATAGATGTCAGAGGGATCCAAGTTTACAAGATAAGAGTCAGAGATACCATTCCACAGAGAGGGAGATAGGTCAAGAATGTACAAGGGGTCTATAGATTCTTCAGTCAGCAATTCTAGTTTAAAGCAACTTTTCTTCACTTGTAGATTCTACCAGAGTCTTTATTCACTTGGCGCTTCATAGTTCTTCGAGCATTAGAGGATCCCGAATGTGTTCTCACCACTATAGGTCATGTAAAGAAAGCCATCTTCATCCTTATTCTCCTCATAGATTGCAGACATCATGGCAGCTGTAAACATGCTCCAGAGTCAGTAATCTGCAACAGTGCTATAAATACAAGGAACAGATTTTGAGCCCAAAAAAAACAGCAAACATTTATCTCACCAGTTGGCGGTAGAATATTCTTCACAAAAATGAAAATGGCCTTCTCGGGACTCAGCTTGATCCTCTTCCGGACCACATAAACAAACTGTCCAACAGTGAGATCAGCAGGAACCAGGTATCTACAGTGGTCAAACCAAGTGACAATGTTAGTGCATGGAAGACGAAATAACAACAAAGGCTAATGACACCTACTAGAAGCACATCATAGTATATTAACTAGTTGAATACAATACGCATTACATCTCGTCATCAGTATCCCAAGAATATGAGTACTTGGTACTTGTCTCCAGCTGGTATCCCTCCAGCACTTCATTATCAATCTCTGCTAGCTAAAACTAAATGTTACCAGAAATCCCAATCTTACTATCTTACAAGTAAATCCTTCATCACAGTTTTGGTACTTGTCTCCAGTTGGTATCCCCTCAGCACTTCATTGTTAAATGTTAATTTAGCTAGCTAAAACTAAAAGTTAACAGAATCATCATCTTACAAGCAAATCCTTCATCACAGTTTCGTTAGTGACCCTGAAAGACCAACAAGTTATCACAGAACTATGTCCGAAATGCCTCAAACCCTCCAAACATAGAACATAGAAGATAGATATAAGCTCTAAACCACATTTTACGAGAGCGAAATCCTTCCAACAATAAAAGAACAAATCCTTCCTGATAAGAATACCAGAAGCTTATTGAAAATGCAGATGCAATAACCATAGTTCATAGATTCAAATGTATACCAAGAGACTTACTTTTTCTTGTCAATGTCAGGGACATCACTCTTTTCAGCCCTCTCAACAATTACCTACAGAAATAAGCATAATCAATCACACCCACAGTTACTGAAGCCACCCATGAAATCAGAAACTGCACATGATTAAAAAAGAAAGGACAGTAGATTGCATACCGGGATCCTGTCAGGGTACTTTTCCCTAATGCGGGCAGCTTCAGCCTGCCTCCTCTCTGCCCAATGCCCATGTCCAAGAACAACAAGCAGACTCTCAGTAACAGAAAATCGGTTAAACACAAGCATCCCAAGTCCTCAAGGAAACAGGAGAAGAGAACCATAGCAATATTTGGACAAACAAAGGGACCAAGCAGAATCACAGTCTCTGGATCCTAATTGTAATTGCTGGACGAGGTGAGAGAACAGAAGAAAAGAAAACCACGAAAGCTATCTAATTCAACTTTCTCACACAATCAATCACCAAAATGGAACGCAATCTCAAATTAGGGTTCACCGCGTTGATCAATAAACCCCCACATCCCCAATCCCCACCCAAAGATCAAGATAGTAGAGAAAGAAGAGAGACAAACCGAGGGGATGTTCCAGCTTAAAAGAGCTCTTCGCCATTGCGAACACCTGAAACAGAATAACATAGTAAGTTTACCCATGCGAGAAAGTAAAACGAGACAGTTGGTGAATCGGGCATAACGGAAGCAAACCCTGAAACTGCAGATCGGCAAACAGTTGAGATTGAGAGAGAAAGAGAGGCAATAGCAGGGTAGTTGAGATGACGGACGTGAAGAGAAAGTAAGGGAAAAGAAGTCGTCGACGGAAAAAGGGCGAAGTAGTGAAGTACCCTACCTGCAAGTTACGGAAGGAAGCTATGCCTTGGCTTAATGGCTGCTGTTATTTTGCCTGTCGATAATTCCCCCTTCTCTTTTTGCGTCGGGTATGATGTGCTGTTATACATAGTTTTGTCGCCATATTCGTAGGTTAAGTGCCGACGTAAACGCCAAGTTTTGCCGCAGCGTTCCTCGTCCGTTGCTTCATCGTCATTTTGGGGAGAAGACCGCAAAAATAACATTACCCGATAAAGTGTACAAATTAAGTTCGTACTAAAAAAATTCATATGAAAATATATAACTACAAATTAAATTGGTAGCAAAAGGTTAATTAATGTATATGTTCATTTTGTACTAGTGACGGATCCAGGATAGTATAAAGTATTGGGACACATTTGAAAAGAGACAGAGAGAACTGGACCGTAACCGACAAGCACTAAAACAAATATCTAAACTCGAACATTTACAAGGGTGATACTAGCTCTGGATCCAGCGAAGGGCTGGGCCGTGACCCGGAGGCGGCCCACCTAAATCCGCCGCTGTATTGTACCATAATAAAATTTGTACAAAATTGTATAGTACAAATTGAATGTGTATCATAAGATTAAGAGTACAAATTCAGTTTAACTATAACAAAAAAAAATTGTAAACAAAAGCAACAATACTTATATAGTAACGAAGCTCTTTTCTTTCAGGCTACTCATTTAGTTACGACGGGGAATTTTATTTACAAAACAGTTTCATTAATAAGTATACGCATAAGGGATAAACTCTAGGCCGGAACCAAAAAAAATTATATAGGATAAACTCTTTCAAAAATAAAATAAAAATTCCTAATGAAGAAATATCCGACCAATAAAACTTATAAGTGATATTTTCGTATTTTAAGAAAATGGTAAAAACATTTGGTATCTACAATACTCAATAAATTTCTTTCGATATGGAAACCATTTTATTTGTGCTGGGAAAGGGGATGGTTTTGGTTTCAAAAATTAGCTTGTCTTTCATTTTCTTTCCTTTTGTTTACCAATTGCTTAATAAGTTTCTTCCGCACACAATTCATCCTATCTTCCTCCAGATTTGGTTTCTGTTACTTGACATTACCATCTAATTCTTTTTGCTTGCAAGAGCAACCAATAGAAGCACAAAAACTAAGCCTAAAACGACAAAAAAAAAAGTGACCATGAGGTCATTACAACATACTTATTATTGCTAGCTTGAATAGCTACTTGCAATGAGAACTTACAACTTTCTGGCCTCACAAGCCAAACCATCAAAAAAATAATGATTCTTTTTTGAACCAGATAGTTGCCAATTAGCCATTAGCAATAAGAAAACACTTATCTTCTGGTTTCTGATTCTCTATTCCCCTCTTGCTAAAATGGGGAACCTCCCACAAACCAGCTATTTTCTAATCTCTACTACCTCTCTCTCTTTGCCAGGCTCCCTGGCTATGTATTGGGTGTGGTCTCTGAAATGTTCTTCTCTATATTCACATAGTTACAAGAACATGACATTCAAAACACACATTGGTCCATTTCATCTTCCAGAGTCTCGAAGATTTGTTCTTCTCTTCTCTGTCAGAATTTAGCAGTCCAAACAGCATTTGCACCTTCCCCACAACGCCGATGAACCTCCTTGATCCGGTCAGCTGACCTGCAGATCCCGCTGCAGGTCCAATCGAACGAGGCAATGCATATGTTGCCAGCTTGAGCCTTCCACTCACAGTCTTGAACCATAAAAACACAAATCGAGAACTGTCAGCCTTAAGGAAAGGGTACATATACTATTACTTAGAGGGTCTTTGGTAAATGGGAGATCGTGAGGATGTGTATAATGATCCAAGGAGGCATCCTCATTAGCAAAATTTGATGAGCCCTTACCAGGTGGAGTGCCACAGCATAATCTGCGATCATCGATGTGATCCACGTCGAGGCCAATGAACCATGATCCCAAGGAGACATCCTCATTAGCAAACTTATGCAGGACATGCCTGAAAAGCAGAAAAGATTTCTTGTCAGCTTAGTTTTGTGCTATGTTCCTTTAGATGATGAACAAATGCAGAGATAGAATGCTTACTGGTTTACTGAAATGTATGAAGCCAAGTCATGGGAGATGGCGTAGAGCTGCCCGGTGGCATGCCTGAAGTACTTGTTTCCAGCTTCCCCAAATTTCCAGTACTCAGGCTCATGGTACCTCACTCCCCTATTGAAGAAAGGAACAAAGAAATAACACTCAGTTCTTTAGTTTCTCAGACTATGTAAATTACAAGTCTAATTTGGTTGCATTGTCCAAAAGTTTAGTTTTCTACTTACTTTTGATTAAGGACAGGACCAGATTTCATGCATCCAATGTACACCCTTGGTTTCTTCCTGTGCCTAACTAGAGTCTCTCCGAGTGTTGCTGGATCAAAAACATCATACATATGAATAAAATCAACCCAAAATTAGCAAATAGCTCAATATATTGAGAAGATTTGCTTCCCATTTGAGTTACCTATGTTAACATGTACATCGTCGTCCACTTTGACATAGAAATCTGCATCCCACAATGCAACAGCAGTAGCAAAGTAGATCTTTGTCTTTGCTGACAATTCAAGGTAACCCTCGACATGATCCTGCTTGCGGATAATTAGGAATCAGAAGGGGGAAAAAGATATATTTGTGGTTACATGAAACCTTTGGAGATGAACCGGTAAGAAAAAGGATTCTAGCTTCTGAATAATTACCAGCCTCAAGAAATCTCCATGCTTTTGGTCTTCTGCTTCAATGGCTCTATCCAAAATGCCTCCTGATGTAGCACTGCAACCACACGAAAAGAAGAAGAAACCTTAAGTCAAATGTGGCATTTCAAACTGAAAAGATTCAATCTTTGGGCTCTTTTATGAATTTGGATTAGCTGACCTGTGACCAATGACAAATCGGATGATGATACCCTTCTCTTCCTCCAGTTTCTTTCTCTTCTCACCTAGTTTAGTTCACCCACACCATAGTCCTTTTCAGCAACCAAGTTCACCAAACTGAGAAAGTGAAGTTGAAGTTTAAGAATTCAGCAGGAAACTGAACCTGTAGGCATCCAAGTGGCACGAACCGAATCCCTTCTCTTCCTGCTGCTAAAAGCAGTATTGATCCCCACCACCATCAAGTACTTTCTCTTCCTCGATGAAGAACTCTTCTTCGAGTCCTCTGATTGAGGAGAGCCGCTGAGTATAGACTCTTGTGTTGCCTTTGCAGCAGCAAGCTCCATCTCTAAGCTTGAAATTGTCTTGTCCAATGTGCTGTACACATTCAACAATATTTAACACTCCAATGCTCAGTCTCATTATCAACCATAATGAGCAAATTCTACTTGATGTGCGTAAGCACTGGTACTTGGTAACTTACTGTATGGCATTGTGGGTTTTGTGAACTTCTCCATCTATGTCCTTAGAGTCTGGCAGCACTTCTTTCTGATGCAGCTAAAGTTTGACCAAAAACCAGTTTAGAGTATTGCAGAAACAACAATAACCAAAATCAAGAACATTGGAAGATTACTCACAGCTATAGAGCCACAACCCTCAGAGATCAACTTCAGTTTTTCTGCTTCAATTGCAGTGGTTGTCCTTGTTAGACCTTTAGGTTCAGGGAGTGACCACAACCTGCAATTTCCCACAAGCCCAATTCAGAAACGAAGTCAACAAGTCAATGCTAAGAGAAGATAGATAGCCATTTAGATTCCAATAATTAGCTGCAAGAGGACAGCAATAATAAATTTGAGAGGCAATGGTAACAAGTAGTACAGATTTTAATCAATGTTTCTTTTGCAAACAGCAAAACAAAGAAACTAGACATATGTACTACCACTACTACTACTACTGCCTGATGTCAGTTATAACTGAAACTAACAAAACCTTCCAAATTATAGTTGTGGGCACCATAGCTTTAGAACTGATCCAATCCAGTTCTGAATGCTCTTGAAAAAACAATACCATCTTAATGAATTGTTCACAAAACGAGAACCCAGAGGGAATTCGTACTGAAAATAGAAGATTAAGGAACCAAACGTGGATCCAAAATCAAAATGGAGCACAAGGATATGCTACTATTACTACTTCTACAACTAGTCTAGCAAAAACTTGATATTGACCATTTTATTAATTTACATTTTTTATTCATCATTGCTGAAAGACACTGACTAGCAAGTACCAAAATTTGAACCACCCAAGTCAATTTTTTAGTGAAAGTTTCCAACTTGAATTAGAAAAGAAGGAAAAAAGAAGGTAAGATTCAAAAGGGAGAAGGTAGCTACCTAATTTAGATATGGTTAGCTCACCTAAAAGAAAACCTAATGATAAGATGTAATTATCAAAGTGGCAGCAGTAATTAAGAAGCTCTGAGCTCAAACCCAGATTGCAGAAAACACAGATTGAATACCCAACTGATCCAATTCCGATCAAGAACAGCGGGGTTTTTTTCTTCTAGGGAGAAACCTCAGAAGCATCCAACGACGAAAAATTAAACACTCAGAAGTAAACCGAGGCTGTAAAAATCGCGGGAAAAGCAGAAGGAACGGGAAATTGGTTGGAGTTGTATGTATTTATTAATTTACCTGTTTGTGAAGAGCATTCCGCCGCAAAAACAAGCTAGGCAGAGGAAAAGCGTCCATTTCTGAGATACAGCAGAGCTCTTATTGGAGGCAGAGTACTGTTGCTCTGTTCTCAATTTGAATGACATTTTTTCTTCCTCCTGATCCGGGTCTATCTATCAATCTTTACTATCTAACGATTTCAATCAATTCCTACTCAAGGATCCCAGAATCTAGTCAAGAACAGAGAACCCATGTGGAGAATATAGCTAAATGAAACAGAGGGAACAAAAGTGAATCGAATAGATAGAAACAGAAATGGCCGGCAGTTAGTTGCTTCTGAAACAGAGCAAGAGAGAGTGAAAGTGAGAGGTCTGGCTGTGTGTCTGAAGTAGGAGAGTTTTCTGAAGAGGAATAAAGCTCGGAGGTTGAAAGGAGAGGAAGAAGAACAAGGGAAAAAACAGAGGAGAGGTTTTTGAGAGGGGATGGGGGTGGTGCTCTGTTTTCTAGCTTTATGAACTTGGTTCACGAATTTGTACTTTGTTCCCTTTTCTTTTCTATCTCATTTGGTAGTTTGGTTTGTTTGTTCGGATTCCTTTATTCTTTTCTCTCTTTCTTTCTTTTGTCTATTTATTTATTTATTTAATTAATTATGTCGACAAGTAAGGAAAATAAAATGCTAACTAATTTGGATTTTATGTTTTCTGGTTTACAGGGAAGGAAGGGAACTTGGAAAGGGCCACAGGGGAAGAAAGAGTAGAGAGGGAGACCCACTAACTAATTGCTCTGTTCAAGGCTAGGAAGGAAGGAATGGCATAATTACCAAATGCTCCTTTTTCAGAACCTTCTCCATAGTTTAATTGTCTTACCCTTCACTTCACAGTTACAGAGTCTGCCGACCTCTGACATTAAAATTTTGCCTTTTTTCTTAAACCAACCTCTTGTCTTCGGTAACTTTCTTCGTGTCCTTTATTTACTTTTTCACTCTCAAAATGTTAGTGGTTTTCACTCGTTGTGTATTGTTGTTTGACAATTAACATGTGGGTTTTTGTTCACTTTAGGTGAATTCACAACGATAAAATACGGAAAAGATTGGGCGAAATTGAGAAATTTTTGTAAGAACTCCGAAATTAAATATGTTCATTATGAAATATTATAAAGATGGATGACCTTATTCGAAGTCATCTTGATATGCACCACAAGACAAAATTCGAATAAGTCACAATCCAAAATGGCCAATATCTTATTGGGAAAAGGTTTAGAATATTACAAAGGGTTTAAAAGCATAGTATGCATTGCATATAGAGTTTATATGTCCTATAAATCATATCTAATTTTTTTATAGGGTAATGATTGTTTATTAGCCAAACCATTTTTGGATTCTTTTTATCAGCTAAACCTAGCGAAATAATAAGAATTAGCCAAATGTTAACTTTTAATTAGCAATTTTATTAGTAATATTGACTTGGCAACAACGGGGGACAAATAAATTTTATCAAGAGCATTCAATAATAGACCAAAATCTATAAGGTTGTCAAATAATCCAAGTCCTATTGGCATCAACAACAAAAAAATACCCAAGATTTTAGTCCAGAATTTTGATTAAAGGTTTGTCAATTGACAACCCATTAGCTCACTTGGATCCGTCTCTACTTGGCAACATAATACTGACTTGGAAGAGACAAATGAAGGTCAACATTCTAAATTTTAGTATTTTAACTAGAAAAATAGTTACAAAATTATTAACGATAACGTAAAAATGGGTAATCTTTTGAGGCGTTACAAAAGATTTTACTAATAAATTTCATTTTAATAATTTTGGATAATATAAAAAATCTAAAAAAATTGACATTACCATTTTTTATATGTTACTGAAATGAGGTCTACCGAGAAGAAAAGTCCAATTTAAGATTACAACCTAATATGTCCAGTTTAAAAGTGGCAAAAGAAAATAATCAATGGTATGGCTCAATAAACAGATATGAATCATGATAGTGAATAAACAGAGATCAAGGAATCTGTCAGGTTTAATTAGTAATATAAATAAGTTATATGTGCGAGTTCAATTTCCATCATTCGCCCACAACTCTAAATCAGTAAAAAAAAAATGACGGATCAATCAATTAGAGCTTGACCCTCTCCTTTAAAACGGAACATCCTGAATTGATAATTTGTCTAAATTGGCAGGAAGATTTAACATTTATACAGAAAATGTTCCAACTGTTCCATTTTGAACGATCATGTAATATATGTTATAATTTTTTGACAAAACGATTGCTCATATTCATTTCCTTCCGAAATTCCATTGAATCTGCCTCATCAACCTTCCAGCTCGTTAAAAATATAATAAACAATGCACCTAACTCCAACTCGAACACCAGAATCAGAGAATCTTATGCTACACACCTATGCAGCAGAACTCGCCTTTAGATCGAAACACCTTTGTCAAGACGCATTTGCCTTATCCAACAATGAATAGAAGAGTTGTAGTCTTGTAGATAGGCTACAGTACTTTACCTCAACAAAACCTGACATCGGCTTTCGCAATTACTGAGCTATATATCCTGGTAACTTAGAACCCCAATTTCCAGAAGATGAGGAAGACCAATATCGTTGACTTAATATAAAAAAGGAGAGGAGGATGGAAAAAAATTAAAAGCAACGAATGGGTCATTTAAATAATACCGGTGGCGATGAAAACTGAAAACGACGTTTCAATCTCACTGGCTGAAATGAGAAGAACAGCAAGATTCACCATTTTCACCTCCTTTTCCTCACCACCTTTTCCTCCCCCACCATTAATTTTCATTGCAATGCTCTTACGTATATTTCTGTTCTTCCCTTTTATTTTGTTGGATGCTTCAAACTTTCTGGTGCCATTAACATCACCAAAGCTATACCTTTAACACTTGAGGATCAAGATTCTGAGAACCCTCTCTTCTCTTTCCTTTCTGGGTGGTCCTCTTGGAAGGATTGGGATGATGAAATACCACCAGCTGATCACATGAAAACCCTTACAACATGTACCTAGCTAAGTGGAAAAGATTTAGGAAGAATGAGGAAAACCCAGAAAAGGGGGATAAATTACAGGAATGATCTATGCACTTTTGAGTTTTGTGGCAAAAAAAATTTAATACTAGGCTTTAAAATACCTAAGATAACAATTTTTTTGTCCATTTGTATCGAGATTTCTAATCTTAGTTATCCGGATTAGCAAGCAATCGGGTTCATCCAAACTAACAATAAAAATGTCATGTAACCCTAACACGAACCTTTTTTCACTCAACCCAGTACTCAATCAAATTTGGACTCACATTACTCAAATCCATGCCGCAAACTCTTCCTCAATCCCTTACCCTATAGTTAATTAGAAGGTCTATTTTACCTTTTGTTATTATCTTGAGTGAGTCAACATGCTGATCTGCACAAATTGGAACATTTGTGTAGGGAGTAACATCTACAGACCATGTTCGCGTTACATTCAAAATTCAGTGATCAATTTGTTAATGAGTTCAAAGTTTGATGACCCTGTCTGTAATTAACTCTTAGCGAAGTGTCACCATCACATATTCACATTATTATCCTGATAACGTAAAATGGATCTTTGCAGAACTTTGGCTTATTACCATGAATCTCACAATAGTATTTCGTTGCATCCAGGCCTTTTCTTATTTTACCTCTAAACGGATGTCAATTTTGGCTCTTGGTTAATTTATTTGCCTGTACTATTTCTATATATTAATTGTGTTACGGATTTACGTTCTTTGACTTCTCTCATATGGTCAACAATTATATAAAATATGTTTTTTATAGAAAGTTTTATAATTTATGTTTGCCCGTTCTTTCTTCTTGTTGAGTTGTTGTACGTACATTGTAGTTGACTTTCTTGTATTTATGGGGAACCCTTTGATCAGAATTTCTAAGAGAATTAATGAATGGTAATAAGTTATATATATATATATATATTAAAATAATGATAATAATTAATTAATAATAGCATCTCTTAAGTTTCTTGGCTAGTTAATGTGCCCACTTGTTTAATTTTATTTGAAGGGGATTTGTTTGGAAAAATCCGTTTACTTTCCTGCAGTGGGTTTAGATATAAGGATTTTGAAATAAGTTATCCCAACAATCAAATCATAGTTAAAAATGCAAGTAAAACGTATACAAATAGGGGAAATAGAATATATGCTAATTAGCCTTTTTTCTTTATTGGCCACATGGCTTTTTAATCGTTTTAAATTTTGCGATTCGACTCTTTTAGTTAGAATATCTCCGCTTAATCGATTTATTGACTCGAATTGATTTCTAATCACAAGCATGTGGCTAGCTAGTATACATCATTGTCGTTCTGAAAGGAGAAAAATATCGAGAACAAGGTGGGAGTATGCATTATTAGAGGGGCGGGGGGGCAGCCTCCAAAAAATGCATAACTAATTGTTGTACTTGCTATATAACCCAATCCCATCTCGAAGGCATATAAAATAATTCAAAGTGTGTTTTGGTAGCCAAAAGCACGTGAAAGTCACTTGGCAGCCAACTCACTCTACCACTCTCTCCCCACAAATATGTCCTCTAAATAATAACCTTTTGACCGTTCTTCAATTTTCGACAGTTGCATGTTCTTGATACCCAAAATTCATAGAAAATAACAAGTCAATTACATTATAAGCGCTCGATCGCTAATGGCTGTTACAACCTTACAACACATGATCCCTAGCTAGATAGCTACTTCACATCACATGCGATGTATTAATGTAAGATAATCTAAGTCCAAAACCTCGGCAAGGTACTAATGCATGGCCACGTTAGCAACCGCTCAATATAAATAAGAACTAGGTGGCGATGCCGCGACTTATCGCGGGGCGGAGATGGACTATGTGCATGTATTATGTGACCCGTTATGGTGTTTTGTTAGTATTATTAGTCTAAAATTAATTTTTTGTTAGCAGTTTTGTTAGTAATATTGACTTGACCGTATGATATTGAATGAGAAGAGATATATGGCGGTCAACATCCAATTCAAAAAAAATTGAAAATTCTGGGTAGTAAATGATATTTAGCTAAACTCAAGTAAACCCATTGATTATAGGTAGGGTATGGGTGTCATAAATATGGATTTGGAAGTTTGTAGATGAGTTTGGGTAGGGTTTGGATATTTACTTTCATAATCTAAATGTGTATGAGTTGGGTATGGATACCCATTTATCCGAGAGTGTTTTGATTACACATACAAAAATTAAACCTATTTGTAGAACTTTAAAAGTTTAGGTACCAAAATGTAATGCACAAAAAATTAGGTACTAAAATGATGTTGCATCAACATTTTGAGGACTTATATGCAAAAAAATAAATTTAGGTTATAAATCTAAAGATCTATTTAGTTTAGGTACATAACTATAATTTGCATATGTGAGGCTTAATTCCTTTATGGTGATGTATTTAAGATGATAGTTATTTACTTTTTTATAGAAAAAGAAAACTATTTATTTGATATGTGTAGATACCTAGCCAAACATTTCATGTATAATTGTTGAAAATTCTAGCCAGGGTGGAAAAGAAAAACTATAGAGAGAAGCAAAACGAATACAAACTGGAACTTGCTTAAAATTTCATGCCCTCAAATCTAATAGTGAAAAATGATGGCTTTCTAATAAATAATAACCATATTTATTTACTTTTTACTAGATTGGACAATGAGCTGTAAAAGTTAGTGATTTATGGTTCAATTATTAGTTATATAGACTGTTGGTGAGTCGTGTATGGACCCGTTCATACTTGTAATTAGAATACATAAAAATAGTATACTAATTTGGGTTAGACGAAGAAGGCAAAGAAAGAAATGGAGGGCGAGTGAAAAATGAAACGAAGGAAAGTAGATGATAAAAGGTTTTTACCAATTCTTCTAGTTGAACGTCAATAAAACAGTCAACCATTTTCACTATAGCAATTTATTGACACTTGCTTATGTAGATGTCGCATATTTTGTTACATGTAGTTAGTAGAAGTTTGTTTAGTACCCCGTAAATGTACTAAATGAGTGTATAAATTCGCTCTTTTAATTTTTTAGAGTCGTCTCTCTTTTATCATTTATTTAATGATTCACGTAATGAGCAAATATAAAATTATCGAATCTTCTCCTACAGTTGAGTAAATACAACATCTTGTATTATAAAAAAAAATTATACTTTTATGTTATGATAGATTTGATTTATGCATTGGTTCAAAATGATTGGTGGATTAGATTCATGGATTCAAGCGAAATCTAAAAATTGGGCCAATA